CACTCAAGAAAGAGAGTTTCTTGTAGGACCTTGATCACTATGTCCAAGCAGTGTACACTTTAGAATAAAAGAAGTTGTGGTCGTATATGAAAATAGAAGATTAAAACCATCTATTAATACTTAGGATGAATTTGTGAAAGAATTGAGTAGTTCACTCGAACTAAGAGTGCATGGATGGCATAGGAGGCATTCTACCAAAAGAAAAGGTTTCTAGTATTGACTTCATATAGGCCCCGACTGAAATGAATTGGTTAGTTGTCTCATATATGCATTATCATTTTATTTACTGGTACATTTTAGATTATGAAATTCATTGGTGACAGAACTTTACTGGTACTAGTTAATTGATCAATGACCTTGCTTCTTTATTTGAAAGACAGTTTTTTGATAAAACAATTATATTGAGTTTCAAGGGTATCAATAAGTAGGTGTTAAGATTCCATCACATATGTTGTTGGCCTCATAACTTCAGATTTTTTATGGGTAAAACATCATGTGTGCCAAAGTAGGAGTAGGAGGGAAGGCTAAGGTGAAGTTAAGTTCAACAAACAAACTTTGTTGGGGCCTCAAAGTGTTGTTCCAATAGATGTGGAAATACAAAGTCTTCAGCTTGTGAGAAGGATTTGTGCTCTTGTTTTCTAATTGACATGTTGTGTTGTGTAGGTGACATAGAAGTAAAAAGATGGTGCATAACAACAATGAGGATTAATGAGTTTTGTGGTGATGATAGGTGAGAAGGATATATGTGGAATGTCTTGGAACGAGTAGGTTTCATGAAAAATCATGTGATGAAATAAATTAGTGATAAATTTTCATTATCATGAGTTAATAGTTAATTAATAATATAGTTTTAGCCTTAACTCATGATAAATAGATATATTTGTGTTAAATTATGAAAACTAGTTTTTAATTTGTTAATATGAATTTTTGGCTAATTATGTGATTTTCTACGAATTTATATAATTTTATAATCCTATTTTTGAGATAAATGAAGAAAAATAAAATAAAATAAAAAGATAGAAAAAGAGGGGAACCCTCCGGCCAGCCAAGCCTACAAGCAAGTTGGAAGAACAATCGAGTAGAGCCACGAGTAAGAGATCAAGCAGCTAAAGATTGACCGATAGGAGGCACATGTGCGTCACTTCCATTCCATAACACCCGTGGCCAATCGGGCACGTGACAAAGGAACTCAATGATTTTGAAATCTGGTATTACTATATATTCATCTCAAAATTTAATATATAACTAATGTGGGACTAAATTGTTAGTCACACTTTTTCTGAAATATTTTTGATGATTTTAATACCTAAAATATCCCTTATTTATAATAATGAGATATCATGATGACATCACTTTATAAGGGTATTCGAGTACTCATTTCACTCTCTCATGTAAGTAGGTGACTAGCACAAGTTTGACCCACTTCGTTCCTACCAAGCCAAAACTCATATTTTTATTTGACCCACTTCGTTGATTTCTACACTTCACAAGAAGATCTAAAGATTGTCTATGTCATTTGTGTCAAAGGAGAGCCTTTGAGGCTATGGACACTATACAATATTCCTTCATAACACATAGAATTTTAACAATCATTGTCATAAATCTAGAACTCTACCTTTTTTACTTTTAATTTAATTTTTGCTGAATTTAGTGATACTTGTGTGACTTCAAGTTACTAAGATATTTTTTATTTAATTAAGATTTTTCTACCTTTTATAGATCTTAATTTGACCAATTAAACTATATGTAATCACTTAAGTAAGAATCATTGAGTGGAGCTCTATTTCTACCTGAATCACATTCCTTAGGAAACTAATGTCATCCTGATATCCACACCGTTATTTTCCTTTTCTGTGAATTTTAAATATATTTTATATTCATCATTTAGTCTAAAACTCATAATAAACCATATTCTTTTAGAAAAATTCTGAAATATTACCTAATCCCGATATTATCTTACATCGTTATGATCGATCTGGAAATTCTCTACTATTTTTGGAATATTGTATCAAATTATAATTAATTTATTTTTTCTGAAATATTTTTAAAAATCCAAAAATTACTATTTTCTTATTTTATAAATTTTAAATTTATATGATTTATTATACAACAACTAAGTCACATCAATAAGCATGTCTAATTAAAATATTAGAGAAATTTTAGTTAGTGGAGAGTCAACTTTTCTTGACTTTGGGTACTAATGAGTTAAATTTTCTATAGATATTGTTAGTTTTTAATCTTCTCAATCAAAAATATTGAGTTATGTTTTAATTTGATTTGCAAAATACTCATAGATAGTAATGAGTGTAGTCATCTCCTCATGGAATTTGAGGCTTACGATTAATGCTTGTTCTAATGAAGGAATTGATGGGAAAGAAAACGAGTGAGTTGTGGATTGGAAAGAGAGAAGATGATGAATCTAGATTTGATTTATCAGATCTAGTTGGCATAAAAACAGCAAGTAATTGATCACAACTTCTACTCCAAAATTCCTAAATAAAATCTACTCTAAACTAAACTAAACAGAACTCTTCATCGCGAAACTAACTTGGTGTCACCGCTCCTTCTTCCTTACTTCTGCTAGGAAGAGGCATTCACTTGAAGTAGCAAGAGAGACCTCGCTCAAGCAAGATGAGGAGTGCTCTAGATTGACACACCCGCATTCACATGATGTAGAACTTAGAAAACCCTAAACCCTCTGGGCTAGCTGAATCGCCAAATGTTTCCTTAATCAAAAAGTTGTTTGTAACATAAGTTTTCCCCCAATGTATAGGGTGGTGTTCCCTCTCTCTCCTCTTTCGCTTACCTCTCATGCACACGAGAGAAGCTACTCAAAGGTTCTAGTGACTTCGTCCCCCACAAGGCCACACTCTATCAAATTGATGGGCTCCCTTCTTATGTGCTCTCTCTTAAGATGTCAAATCCTTCTCTCGCCAAAAAGCTGCCTCCTCAATCTCACAAGTAACGGTTGAGTTATTGTATCACAGCCGTTGATGAAGTGGCTACAACCTAAGGCATAAATTCCTAAAATTGTTGGAAAATGATTAGGAAAATCACAAAAGCATATTCAATGTGTAAAATAATCTGGTTTAATAAGCCATCCAAATGTGTTTGAGGAGATTAATCTTATGAAATTCTAATAAATATTTAAAATATTAATTTACATTGAAACATATTAAAAATCATATTTATTGATGTGAACAACACATTAATAATATCATAGAAATGTAAAATTAACTAAGTCAAGATGTATTCCAACACATTATTCATGTGTTATCACAGCCCCCAACTTCTTCCATTCCTAGTCCCTTAGCAATGGATTAAGAAGGATTGTGTTGCTATGATTTCATTGCACTCATCTTCATCATTACCTGCATAATCATGAACTTGCACTTCATAATACTCAAAGAAAAATTAACTCATTTCATATTTAGACATCTCTAAGTTTTCATTAGACAAATATTAGAACCTCAATACTTCCATTTCTCACTAATTTACTTTGTCTTGAGACCAACTTTTGTTCTTTGAATCCTTGTCATGCTCGGCTCATATGCACAAAATTTTGACTTGTAGCTCTAATTCCACCAGCTTGCTCTTCTATTTTTTTATCCCATGCCGGTAGTTTTCCATAGATAACTTTTTTTCTTTTTGTCTTAGCCTCACAAGTGGAATCTCCATGGGACAATTGGGAAACCCCTCTTTGTTACGTGTGTCTTCTAGACTTCACTCTACATGGTTGAAGAACAGGTAAGTATCTCACAAGTCTTGCTGATTCTAATCTCACATGTGGAAGCCCCACGGAATCAGGAAAGGTGATTTCATTAATATGTGGCAAGCACCTTTTCACCCATTTGAAAATATTTTTGTACTCTCTTGTTGTGGAGGCTTTATTTTACCTTATTTTCTTTTTGGCTGGTGTAGTCTTCACTATAGTCAAACTTCACATTTTGATGCAGCAATGACTAATGATTCAAAGATACTTCAGGTAACTCTAATACAGTTCAACTATGTTTTGATATAGTATGATGGGATGTAATTTCCTATGTTAAATCTAATATAGAGATACGTCAAAATGAAGTTTTGCTAGTAATCAATGTGATTGATCCATACTATAATTCATGATCATGATGGTATTTTTCCTATCACCAAACTAAAAATTTCACAGTTTGTGCTTTGATTTAAGGAAGTTTTGAAATGTATGAAGTGTAATAGACTCATGCATTTCTTACCTTTAGCATTGTGCACCCCCCCCCCCCAAGTAGAATCGCACAGTGTCCTCAATGTACTTTGAAAGAAAGAGGAATAGAATTAGGGGTGAAGGATATCAAACCCATAATGATTGTCGAAGAAGATATACTTCAGCTTAACATAGTGACCTCTGCAAAAGAAAGAAGTAAAAAGAAAACAGCTCAACAAATGTTACATAAGAAAAAAGGAAAAATAGAAAGAGAACAATCAAAATAAAAGAGGAATTTTCTGCTGCGACAGTCAGCAACTGCTGCTAAGATGAGAAGGCTAAGAAATTTTTACTACTGACTGGTCATGCTCAAGGTATGATTTGAGATGCTGGCGATTAACCTTGAAGGTTCTCCCTGTTTTAGGATCTGAAATTAAAATAGCTCCATAGTTATAGATCTCCACGATAATGTAAAGACCATCCCAACGAGATTTGAGTTTACCAAGAAATAATTTAAATCATGAGTTATATAACCAAACTTTTCAATTTTCACAAAATGATTTACAACTTAAGTTCTTGACATAAAAAGCTTTGAGTTTGGCTTTGTAAATGCGAGAATTCTCATAGGCTTCATTGCGTAGCTCTTGAAATTCTTGCATTTGAAGAAGATGATGTTTTCCTACATGATCTAAAAAGAAATTAAGTTGTTTAATAGCCCAATAAGCATGGTGCTCATATTCAACCAATAGATGACAAGATATACTATAGATAAGATGATAAGGAGACATGCCAATGGATTTTTTATAAACTATTCTATAGGCCCTCAAGGCATCAAGTAACTTTTTTGTCCAATCTTTTTCTGAACAATCTTTTTCAAAAAAAAATTAATCTCTCTATTGTTGAGTTCTACTTGGCCATTAGCTTGGGGATGATATGGGGTTGTGATCTTATATTGGACACCATACTTCTTAAGTAAACTCCTAAAATCACTACTGTTAAAGTGAGATCCCCCATCACTAATGATGACATGAGGACAACCAAATCGAGAGAGTATATTCTGAACAATAAGTTTTAAAATAGTTTTGTGGTCATTTTTTCTAGTAGGTATGGCTTCTACCCATTTTGAAACATAGTCCATAGCTAAAAGAATATATTTATAACTTGCAAAAGGAGGAAATAGACCCATTAAATTAATTTCTCATAAATCAAAAATTTCTACCTCTAAAATTTGTTAGAGCGGCATTGTGTCTCTCTTGAAGATGTTCACAGCAGCTTGACATATTCTACATAACCTGCAGAAATTATAAGCATCTCAAAAATAGTTGGCCAATAGAAGTCACTTTGAAATATTTTTACAGCAATCTTTTTAGAGGCAAAATGTCCCCCATATGTAGAAAAGTAGCACATAATTAAAATATTAAACTACTCCTCTAGGACACATTGGCGAAGGATTTGATCAACTCCTAGGTAAAATAATTCTAATTCTTCTCAAAATTAATACTTTAGCTCACTAAAAAAGTTTCATTTAATACTTGTAGACCAATTAGGAGGTAATTACCTTGTTACTATCTAATTAACCATATGGGCATACCAAGGTATTTTGCATGCATTAATATTAAGCAATTGCTCATTAGGAAAATCATCTAAAAGGGGCACATTAGTATGTGATCAGCCACAGAATTTTCACTTACCTTTTTATCTTTGATATCTTAGATTAAACTCTTGTAATAATAAAACCCATCTAATCAATCTAGGCTTGGCTTTTTTTTTTAATTAAAACTTAATGGCAAAATGATCAGTGAAAACTGTAACCTTGCTGCCTAAAAGATAAGATCGTTTTTTTTCTAAAGCAAAAAAAATAGCCAACAATTCTTTTTCAGTAGTAGTATAATTTAATTGGGCATCGACAAGAGTCTTACTAGCATAATATATGGTGACTGATTTCTTATTAATTCATTGACTCAATACACCTCCACTGCAAACTCAAAAGCATCAGACATTAACTCAAATGGATGGGTTCAGTCAAGAACTTGGAGGATAGGAGCCTTGATAAGAGCTTGTTTAATTTTAAGAAAATTTGATTCTCCTACAACATTTATCACAAAAATTTTCTCCTTAGCTAGGAGTTGGGTTAGCAATTTAGCAAGATTGGTAAAGCCTTCAATAAATCATCTATAGAAACCTACACGACCTAAGAAGGTATGTAGCTGATGTATAGAAGTGGGAAGAGGAAGATTTTGGATCCATCTACTAGTTGTAGCTCCAAAAATAAAGATTGTGTATCACCTACTTTATACATAACATATAGAGCTTTGGGCAATATATTAACGCTTGCCCCTAAATCAAGTAAAGAGCGGGTGAATTCATACCTCAAATCTCACATTTGATGAGAGAGCTCCTAGATCTCGTCATTTTGTTGAGATTTGATTTAGTAAAATCGAACTTATTATTTCAGACAACTAAATATATTTATGTTTCTTCTAAGAATGCATAATTCTTTTAAAAATTTAGCATAAGAAGTAATGCGTTGGATTGCATCTATCGAAAGAATACTAATGGTGACTTACTTAAAACTTCTTAAATTTTGTATCTTGATCTATAATCTTTGGCTTATTGTCCTTTAAAGCTTTACAAAAAGGGATTGGAGGGTTATATCTCTCTAGATCAGGTTTTACCCTCTCCTTTCCCTTATCCTTACTTTGTGTCAAACTCATATCTTCAGTTGTTGTTGGTTCCTCCTGCTCATTCTCTAAATTTTCTATACCCACAAAGTAAGGGTCAAATAAAATCCTCCCACTTCGAAGTTTAGAAATAGCATTATGTGTTTCTTTGTCCAGATCATGGCAATCGACTTGATTAATGTGATGTTGACCCAAGGAATTAATCAAAATCTGAGGATTAATAGATGACTATGTTGGGAATTGACTTGCTTCTCTATTGCTATTGCTGATTTCCAATTGATTATCATTTCACTTCTTGGATCCATTTAGATCAGATTGTTGTCTTCCCTTGATCTATAGTTCCATTCATTCCATTTTTCAACTTAGCTTTTGTTGTTCTTGCAGCATTTGCTTAAGCAATTCCTACATAGACAAATCAGATCCACCTGCATGTGACTGTAAATGATGATTAGAAGGGAAATTATCTTGATCTTGAAAATATTGCTTCTAAAATGACAAGTTCTATGGAGGAACAAATGGCCCAAACTGATGGACTATTTCCTGATTTTTCCTCCAACCATTGGCTTGATTAGTGCCAAATTGGTTGTCTATAATTTGCATTATAATTATTATTGGAGGATGTATTTTGCCCATGTCTTTGCCAACTATTACTTGACATAAATTAGTTTGATTTGAACTGGTCGTTGACTGCCTTGATCTGGTCATATTTTGGACAGTCAACTTATATATGTTCATAACTTAAACATAGTGCACATGCTGACATATCTGGCTCTTGTTTGGGAGGTTACTAGTCGAATTCATTTACTGTGGATTTATTCATCAATACCCATACACATTCAGTCAGTTTGTCTACTTCATCCATAAGGAGTCCAATCTCTATATTTTTCACATCATGGATACCTCCTCTTCTAAATCCTAAAGCTCTACCATTCTAGTTTAAAGCATAGTGATGTGCACTATTTTTCGACAATGTTTCAATAAGATCAATAGTTTCATCTTCATATTTATTCATAAAAGCCTCACTTGAAACAACATCAATCATGTGCCTATCTCTCTCATTCAAACCTTCATAAAAAATCTGCATTAATTACCAATTTAGTATCCCATGATGTGGACACTAGTGGGTGTAATCCTTAACTCTCTCTCATGCCTCATAAAAAGATTTTTGAGGCCTTTGCATGAAATCCTTGATTGCCGTCCTAATATAATTTATTTTTCCTACTGAATAAAATTTCTTAAGGAATGCTACTTCCATGTCAATCCACGAATTTAGCTCCTAGACCAAGGCACCAAGCTAGTCCTTAGCTTTATCTTTGAGTGTGGAGGGGAATAATCTCATCTTCACTCTCTCAATGGGACTATTGGGATTGTGTGAAATCTCACAAACTTGTGAAAAATCTTTAAGATGCTTATATAGCTTCACTGACATAATTGTTGTATAATAAATCACGTAAATTTAAAAATTATAAAACTATAAAATACTATTTTTTGAATATTTATAAGTATTTATGAACAAATATATTAATTATAACTTAATAAAATTTGTAAAAATAGTAGCAATTTTTCAAATCAATCATAGGGATATATAATATAGGGTAATATTTCAGAATTTTCTACAAAAAATATGATTTTTTATAAATTTTAGACTAAAAAATAAAAATAAAATATATTTAAAATTTACGAAAAAGAGAAATAAGGGTACAGACGTCAAGATGACATCAATGTCTTGAGGAATCGGATTCAAGCGAAAATAGAGCTCTACCCAATGATTCTTACATAATTGATTAGAGATGATTTAATAGGTCAAATTAAGATCTATAAAAGCTAGAAGAATCATAATTAAATGAAGAATATTTTAGTAATTAGAAATCACACAAAGTATCACTAAATTAAGTAAAAATTAAGTTGAAAGTAGGAAAGGTAGAATTTTGGCCTCTCATTAGCGATCACCATAATTCTATGTTCGAGATGTTTATCATCCATGGCATCAAGGGCTCTCCTTGGACAAGGCCGACTTGGGCTTTCAAATTCTAGAAAATGATGGTGAAAGTTAAACTAGTTAAAAAATAATAAAATATATTTCCGATGTTGTGGTGGTGATGCGTCAGAATTTTAAGCATTCAAGAAAATTGTCATGTAATATCTACGACTTAAAGACTTCCTTAGACAAGAACGACGCGAGTAATCTCTAGATTTTCTTACAAAGTCTAAAGTTCAATAAAATAGGTCGTTGAATCATCTCTGACAACTATCATCTTGTAGAATGAAAAATTGGCGACTTTGTGGCTCTCTAGTAGTTGTCACCTAGTGGAGATGAGTTGGATGGAGGTAGGGCATATCTTAAGGAGCTTTATCCTCCAGTCTATACAGCAAGAAGATGCTCTTCATCGCATCTAGTATGCTCTCAAGAAGTGGTGACTCATCTCCTAACAGATCATCCTCTTTCTAATGATAGCTTGTTCATCGATCAATCAGAAATAATATACTTGATAGATTTTTTCTCAATCTTTTTATCTATAATCATTTAATAATTTTAGTAATGATACTCCACAAATTACATTGAGGAGATTTTTGTCATTGATTGAGTGACTATGACAACTTAATCCTTCATCAGCAATTTATAATAATATCATAATTTAATCAAATAAAAGTATCAATTTTGGCTCCAGTAGAATTCAAACCCTCGCTAGTTGCCTACCTACATGAGAGAGTAAAATAAGTACTCTAATATCCTAATAAAGTGACATCATCAGGGTAACTCCTTATGACAAACAAGGGGTACTGGAGGTACAAAACTTATTAAGACATTCCAGGAAAAGTGTGGCCACCGATTTAGTCCCACATCAATTGTATGCCACATTTTGAGATGAATATATAGTAATACAAGCTTTAAAATGTAATGATTCTCTTTCTCACAAATGTACGACCACTCCTTACCCCACGCTTGATTGGCCATTGATGACATAGAAGGGGAGTGAAGCACATGCGTGCCCTCTACCTTGGTCTATCCTTAGCCACTTGAGCCCCTACTCATGCTTTGCCTAACTATGCTCACGACTCACTTGCGGGCCAAATTGGCTAGCGGGTTCTCCCTTTTTCTATCTTTTTTTTTCTATATTTATCTCAAAAATAAGATTAAAAAAATTACATAAATTGACATAAAATCACATAATTAGCCAAAAAATTCACATTAACTAACTAAGAACTACTTTTCACAATTTAAAATAAATATAAGTCTATTTATCATGAGTTAAGACTAAAACTATATTATAAATTAATTATTAACTCATAATAATGAAGACTTATCATGGCTCCTCATGAGTCATCCCATGAAAATGTATTAACATTTGGACGATGATAATGAACTCTAAAGTCGACATCATTTTTTATAGGAGCGTTGATTCAATTCACTAGTCTATATTGTAAGGGAGTTGAGTGATCTCTAAGATGCATTCTTCTATTTTTCCTTTGGTTTTCTTCTATTTTCATTTCTTTTTCCAATGTC